ACACAACGTTAGTAGACAGAGTCAGACAGTAATCAGACGAGTTATGAAACGGAAGTGCGAAAGTTATAGATATTCTTTGTTGTTTATTTGTGATATATAAAAAAGCTTTTGATTTAAGTTAAAAAAGAGGTTTTAATATTATTAAAAAAAACTTTTCAAAAATAGTCTTAATTTAATTATCTAACAAAAAGGTTTTATTTTTATAAAAAAAGGTTTAATGTTATTATTATATATTTTTTTTAAAAACGGTTCTAGTTATTATTTTAAAAAAAGATTTTAGTTATTATTTTAAATTTATCTAAAAAAAAGTTTTTCTTAAAAATAATAGGTTTTCATATTAATTTGGAAAAGATGTTAATGTTATTTATTTTAAAAAACAGATTTTTATATTATAATAAGTTTTAATAAATTAATGATAATAATAATAATAATAGTAATAATAATAATAATAATAATAATAAATAATGATAATAATAATAATACTAATAATAATAATAATAATAAATAATGATACTAATAATACTAATAATAATAATAATAATAAAGCAATAATGAATTTTAAATGTGCCAAATAACCCAACAATGTTGCTAACGCAGAAATGCGCTCAGCGCAACCAGATCTAAATCGGACGAAACAAAATTTATCGCAAAGAAAAAGAAATTAAGCAAAAAAACAGTATTATTGCTCACACAAAAATGCGATCATCACAACCAGATCGAACTAACACAAATGTCACGCGTCATGCACACAAATGTGCAAACATCGTATCGATATAATTCGATCAAAAATTAATCTTATATATATATATATAAACTCTAACAATTTAAAAATTATAAATATATAAACGTAACAGTAATAGATGAAGAAAAAGAAATAACGGTAATAGATGAAGAAAAAGAAATAACGGTAAAAGATGAAGAAAAAGAAACAACAGTAATAGATGAAGGAAAAGAAATAACAGTAAACGATGAAGAAAAAGAAACAACAGTAATAGATGAAGAAAAAGAAATAACGGTAAACGACACTCACTCCTCCTAGGTTTTTTTCATTCTCCCCTTTTTCAACAAAGCAACACATGTATATATAGGGAACAAATTAGGGTTAACACCAAATTGTCAATAATGTCCCTAAAGCCCATTTTAAAGCCCAAACTAAATAATTAGTTAAGAAAAAAAAATAAAATTTAAATAATTTAAAATAATTAAAATAAACTTAAAATAAAAACTAATAATCCTATTGATTCCTAAAATCAAAAATATTATAAAAAGAACAAAAATTTTTTCAATATTTTTTATTTTATGATTTTTTGGATATTTTTATGAATAATTTAAAAAAAAGTGAAAAAAATAATATTTTAAAAAATGATTTAATTAAAATACGAAAATAATAATTAAATAATAATAAAAAACTATTTTTGTTATTTTTTAATGAAAGATAGAAAAATTTAGAGTAAAAATAATAAAAAACAAAAAGTGACAAATGTGAGATTTGAACTCTCAACCTCTCACACTCACAACTCCTTACACATGTCCTCTTGCCAATTGTACCATTTTTACTTTTTAGAAAAAAAATGCATGCCATATGATATTTACCTGCAAAAAGTCAAACGACTACACAAATTTGTTAGTAATTGATTAAATGCAATAAAAATGCAATGAAATGCGACGACAAATCTTAGGGCAAAATTTGGGGTATTACAAGAAGGCTTGGGAATAACCATCCATCCAAAGAGCTTGAGAATCAAAGTTGCTAGGAATAATAAAGTAAGAGTGGGTAATTTTCAATTGCGGTTGGCGTGAGGGAAGAGTATATTATGGTTTTAGTTTTCGTTTGATTCGATGATGAATGTTGAGAAATAATTAATGATGATTTTGTGATGAAAAATTATGTTAATTGAGTTGTTGGGTATGTATATCTTGATGTTATAATTTGTTTCTTTCACTTGATTCATGTACTATATGATATGACATGCTTTGGGGTTGTTGGAGGTCAAAATGTGGGGTTTGAGGTCTGTTGCAAGGCTGAAAAATAGAAGAGATCGCACAAAATCGCGAGAAAATGAGGGTTTTCTAGGCCATGCTACTGGTCGTAATAGCGTAGCAGCCCCCTGGATTTTGGCATCAGGAACATGCCCAAAGTGAGTGTTTGGCGAAGGTGTGCTACGGGTCGTAGCCGCTGATACGGGCGGTCGTAGTAGATCCCTGAAATTGGTACTGCAAAATCATTTTTGTCATAACTTTGTGACCGTAAGTCCAAATCGAGTTTTGTTCGAAGCGTTGGAAAGCTAACACGAATTAATATCAAATGAAATTACTTCCTGAGGCTGATCATGATAGTTAGTTAATGCTTTTTATATTTGAAATAAATGTTGAACTTGAAACTTGTTTATCTTTTGAAGATTTTTGTTATATCTTTTTAATCGTGTATCCAATTGACGAGTTGTTTGAAGTGTTAGAAAGCTAACGCTCAAAGCTATAATATAGTAGTAATAGGTGAAATGTTTAAGTATTGTTCATATACCTACTGTATTTATGAAGTGTTAGTTTACATGTTCGGATAATGAATTGTTGTATTGTTGTGCTAATATTATGTGATAAAGATGTTGCTATGTTGATACTATTATGATGATGTTATTGAGATATTGAGTTGATGAAGTTTGATGTTGTTGATACGATTTGATGTTGATGATATTGATATTGTCATGATAAGGTTGTTAATGATGTGCATGTCTAAATATATGCATGATGTGTTTATGATGATTATGTTAATGGTGGCATACACGGTCAGAAGAGGGGCCAATGTGTATGTGTTGTTGGTGCATGTCGTGAATCGTGCATCCATGTTGTTGGAACTTTGGTTCTATTTATGTCGTGGCCTCGATCATATGGTGGGGATCGAGTGTGAGTAACTAACTCCTATGGTGGGGAATTACTAAAGAGTTACCTGTGGTGGGTTAACGATTTTGTTGTGGCCTCGATCCTATGGTGGGGATCGGGTGCAAGTAGCTAATTCCTATGGTGAGAAATTAGTGAAGTGTTACCTATGGTGGGGTAGTGATTTTGTTGTGCTCCGGTTCAAGAGTGAACCAGATCCTATGGTGTAGATCCTGTACCCAATGATGATGGAACATAGAGCGATATGAACCTAATTGTTCATAACTTATGCATATTGAGTCAGTGCATTACATTAACATTTAATTCTTATTGATTGGTTGTGGTTGAGAATGATGATGTTGGATGACGAATTATAAATTATGTAATATCCTTGTATATGACGATGATGTGATGATTGTGAGTAGAGTAACACGTTATTCTTGTAAATGGTTATATACGTTATTGTATGATATCTTTCACTTATGTCGTTTATAATTGATTATGATTATTCATCCCTTCTGTTTGAATGTTGCTTCCACGTGGGTAACGCACAGACACTCAGGAGTAGACTCCAAGGAAGTAAGTGGAAGCTAGCTATTGGAGTTCATTTCAGTTTTTGTTTTAAGTAGGAAGGAATCTGCTCTGATTCATGTAACACTAGGTTGGGGTTGACGTATGTCTTCTTAATTTATTATGTGGTTTATTTTAAAGTATCTGCTAATAGTTTCATGGTGATATTCTAAGATGTTGAATTAAGTGTTGACGAAACTTATCCTTTGTTGATGTTATGGATATTGAAGTTCAAGACTCAATTTTAGTTGTGGAATTATAATTGAATTTCTTATGTTGAATCAGCTGCGTTGTTTTTAAAAGAACTTGACGTTGTAAAAGTCTCATAAATGAGTATGTTCGAATTAATATATATTTTTGTGTAACCCGTGTTACGGAGCAGGATAATTGTGATGTTTCATGAAGTGTAACACCCTTGTGGTTGTGTTTATATGATTAAATTAATCGTTATTTTCGTGAGGATTTTAGAAGGGTGTTACAACTTCCGCAAGGGTGTACATGTTACGTCTAGTAACATTTACTCTCTTTGCGGATAAGTCTCATGTGTATATTAATGCTCAATACATATGGCTGTTTAGTAGCCTTGACGATGCCACTTGGGCTTGAGGGTGCGTTGCATTGACCATCCTATATACAACACTTATGACTTCCTTTGAGACTAGACAATTTTCTGGTTATTTGAGTCTATTCTAAGTATATTTGAAATTCTTATTTGTAGTTTAGTTCTTATTTAATTGTTGTGAACAATATTTATTATTTGTTATGTCTGTATTCTTTTATCAGTGTGGAATATACAAGGATTTCCCCACCATCTATAACAGGAAGGTACAACATACCCGTGGTGGTGCCCCACAAGTTAGTTTACAGTTTAGATTTTTGTTACAACTGATGTAACTAACTTTTCCTCTTGATGATACTTCTATAAAAGCAGAGCTTGTATCCATTATTGATTAATGAAGATATGATTTTATTCCCTCCTTTTTCAATTCTACTAATAAAGAAGAAGGAAGGAAATTTGTTCTAAGGGGTCTCTCTATATCTTCAATAAGTTTAATAGAGAAGGGATAACCATTGATCGTCACTTCAAGTTCCTCAGAGACTATCTCTGAATATTTGGTCCTAATTAGAACTCAAGCAACATCCATTTTTTGCAAGCATAAATAGGAATACCATAGCATCTGAGCCATAAAACTCTTTCATTATCAACATCTGAGGGTCTCCACGCTCAAATTTCTTTGAACCATCCTTTCAACCAATCTCCTCCTTTTGCGATCAGCTTTTCCACTTAAAAATGACCATCTTACTCCAATATAGTAAATACAAAAACATAATCAAATAAAAATATCAAAACTCTGCACTATTTTTCTTTCTACTTAAATGACTCAATATTATACTCACCAGACTAGGTATGAATATGATTCATGAAATAACCAACCGTTTTCATGAAATAATTAGTTTACATATTCTATTATAAATTACTAAGTCTTGATTTTTTTTTCTTGAAATTGTTACACTTAAAATAAAATTTTAGAAATGCAGATTGTGAGCTCCTTGCGTCAATTCCCTGCCAACAAAATTAAAAAAATAAATTATGACAAAATCACAAGTTTAATAAAACTACAACAATGTTGTTGTAACTAGACATTATTAATGAATTTTTAATAAAAAAATGTTCAAGTTATAAAAATCTTACCTTTAAATGAAGAAGGAACAACAACAACATGCATATCAGTATTATTAGGAGGTAGATGTAAAAGAATAGGGTATAGTTTAGCATTCAAAGGATTGCGACAACACACAAGAATATCAACAAGTTGAGTTTCTTCCATCAATTGCTCCTTCAACTCGTTCAAACTAAATCCTTTAAAGGTAAAAAATGATCCTTTAGTTGCAGCAATAACTTCGCCATTTTCATTACCAATGTCGTAGAATATAACCCTCCCTTCTTTTATCGGCGATGGAGATGGATCGTCTAAATATTCAGAATCATCCTGATCATTTAAAAAGGAAAATGTTAAGCTCAAAGAAATTAATATATTGTTAGCATAATTATAACTAATTAAACTTTTTTTTTTTGAATTTGTCAATTTCATAATGTACTTTTTTTTTATATAAAGTTTTTTTTTGTTTGTTTATATAATGAACTTTATTATTAATGGAAGAAAATGTCATAAAGAAGGAAAGAAAATCCATCATATAATTTTTCTTAAGATATAGAATTTTGTAACTTAATTAGGGTTTGCAAGTAATTATCAAAATGAAGGAGATAAAATAATTGTAAGATACAAAAATATTTTGAAAGCATCCTTGATATGATCTATACATGTTAACTGAATAAAATGCATCAAGTAAGTTGAAAAATAATACTATCTCAAATTATTAAATTTATTTATATTTTTGAAATAATGAGCAAATAATTTTGAATAATATCACATTGCAAAGAAAAACACAAATGAATAATGGCTAACTTTTATATATTTTATATTCACAAAAATGTTCAATTAAAATAATCTCTGCACAAAACTATTTTTTTATATTTATTTTATATGTAACAATGACTATAAAATATGAACTTATAATAATAATAATTTTTTATTTATAATTATAGTTGCTTCTTAATTTTGCTTTTATTACACTTTCGTTTCCCTTACAAATAGAATAAAAATCTTTGTGTAACACTTTTGAGTAATAAACTTTTACATTTTTTTCAAAAATAAATAAATAATTAACTCATGTAATTTTTTTGGTGTTTATAAAAATTTCTTAATTACCATATTCATTTGATAACATTTTCATACTCTAACAAATCAATTGATTTTTTTTTATATTTTATAAAAATCAATCACATGGAATACAATATATTCACGGATCTTCACAAAGAAAAATATACAATAACATTCATAAGCTTAGGTTTGTAATTACATTACATGCATTGCATCTACGTATATAAATATATATATGACACTTTTATTTTAAATCAATATATTAAAAAATACATCAAATTGATGCTACATATGAGAATCTCTATAAATGTGTGGTCCATGCTAAGATTAGGTGCTCACAAATTCTCAAAAGATTTTCTACGAGGGATAAGTTTGAGAAATTTTTTTAGGTAACGAACCTCAGGCGATCGAGGAGACCTTAGATCAATCTTGACGAGAGGTCCATGATCTGAATCCGTCAAAGGTGAAGGAGATGGAGGAGAAGGAAATGAATTATCCATTGTTGTTGTAATTGAATTATTGATCAGACAACGACTTGGCGGTATAATAGGTGTAGGCCTTGGCCTTGGCTTAGGGACTTGTCCCACTTCCTTTGGTCTAAGTTCGACAATATCGACATCCCATAAAATCCAATTTACCGTTGCGGTTCTACGCGGACTATCATGTGTTATTGTGTTTCTCCAAGGTGGTAATCCTCCATTTCCACGAAGATATTGTCCATAACGAGTCCTTAGTTTCACTTGAACACCATCCCTAAAAGGTTCCCATTCAACCGATGAACCTAATCTTTTAGGTAAAGTTTGCAACACTTGTCTACCTGTGCTTTTCAAAAGAAATGGCATGTTTGAAGCCGTTAGGTATTTTCCATAACAACTCTTTAATCTTATCACATTATTGTTGTTTTCTTCCAATAACTCAACGGTCCATTTTGCATTCTCATAGCAACCGTTACGATCTTGATAAACGTTTTCTTGATCTTCATGCGCCAACATATATTTGTCATGGTGGCTCCGTAGGCGAACCACTTTTGCCTTTAGGAAGAACTCCATTCAACAAAAATAAAATTTAATGATGATGATAATGATATCAATGATAATGATGAAGAATTGATGTGAATATGATCAGGATGAAAACAAAAAGTATGTAATGAAGAGTATATTAGATATTCTCCTGCGTCTCTCCCTCCTCTCCAGCACAAAGGGATCTGGATAGGACGGAGAGAGAATTGAGAAAATGGTTAATAGAGATCAAGAGAAAAACTGAAAGAGAAATTGTAAAAATAAAATGAAAATGTTAAGGAGAAGTTAGTGATTGAGAGGATGTTATTCTAAGAAATAGGAGAGAGAGGAGAGAGAAAGAGGAGAATAAAATGCAATGTTATTTGAGATTGAAAAAAAGGTTGGATTTATTAGTTGGAATATTTCTATATGTGACATGTTTGTTGTGTGTAACAAAATCATTCATGTTTAATTGGAATAGTAAACATAAATGAGTTGTTTTAAAATGGTTCAACTTCTTTTTCAAGATGTTCTTCTACCTTTACACAACAATGATAAGGTTAATTTGTTGACACAAAAGAAAAATAAACATGTAAAGAATCGACTCAATATTGGTTGGGTTCCTTTGTGTATCAAAATACAAAAAAAGTCATTGTAGTTAATCAATGGAAATAATTTTAATAAGATCAAACTATTGAAATTTGAGCTATTTTTTAATTTTAATTTATCAAGGTCACAATTGTATGATAATTTTTATTAAAATAATCAAAATTGGATTAAATATTAAATCTGTGTAAGCATAAAGGTTTAAGATTCAACTGCGAAAATCGGATAGAAAATAAATAAATATTTTATTTAAATATTTTAAATTAGGTATAACTAATTAATATACTATTTAAAAAAAAAACACTTTTTAATGATTCAAGAGTAACAATACATAAGATCGATATATATTAAAAAAAAATTCAATCAACATGTATTAGAAAGTTATAAAATTAACGTTACAATTATAATTCATTTTATTTATATAATAATTTATAATACAATTCAATCAACAAAATTTAAGAGAAGAGTGTTGTTTTTATAGTTAAAATTATTTAATTCTAAGTAAAAAATAAAAAGTTTAAAAAAAAGCGCGTGGACAAAATCCACCTCAGCCAATTTTTTCAAGCGGGTTAGGCGGAGCGGACCAACTTAAAATACCGAACTGAAAACCCTCAGCTCAGCCTGTCAAAAATAACGGGTCAAACGGACCAACCCGGCGGGTCTAACTCATTTCGCCACCCCTATATAAGATGTATTCAGCTAACTAGAAGAAAATGAGAAAATAACTAAAACAAAAATAACTCAAATAACATAAGCCAAACAAAAACACAACTAACTAACCACATATAATACTGCCAAGTGGAGGAGACTAAGCCAAAAACTACCACACCATAAATAGTAACAAGCTAGAACACAACACTATGAAATCACCGTCAAGAAAACATCATCCACTAGAAAGCAATAAAAGACTCCATGTTCACTGTAACACCCTTTTTCTACTCCAAAATTTATCAAGACAAAATAACACAAATATCAGAGTGAATAATTAAATCTCATTAAAAAGCCACTAAAAGAGCGTACATTTCTCAAAGTCATCAAAATAGGTCCATACTCCGTAACTACGGGTTTTCCTCAAAGTACATCAAAATACCATAAAACAACGGAACTCAAAGCATAAGTCAAAGTATTCCTCAAAAGGGAAAATAAGGAAAATAACCCACTAATATAAAATCAACTCAAAGAACCCAACCCGATGTTACATATCAGAGCAAGACCCTCTAAGCAACTAAAAGACTAAAACACTCAAAACACTTCAAAATACTCCTCGGCGGTGTCCACGACTAAACTGGCTCATCTGCACGTTACCCACGTGGAGATAACATTCAAACAGGCAGGGTGAGTAAAACAGTTCATAATAATCAATGTATGACAATTAGTGCATAAATGGCATTTTACTCATAATTATTATTATACACAATCACATTACTCAATTATTCAACACATTGATATCCCTATTCAACACAATCATATTACTCATATTCAACACATTGATATCCTTAAAGTACCTCAAAGGCCACAACGTCATAATTCATACAAAAGAATTCTCAATGCAATGCGACACAACTCAATGCATGTGGTACCAATCATCACAGCTCGACGGACACTGGACCATCAACTCTCCATAGATCTCCATCAATAGGATCGATTCTACTAGAGAATCGGAGCACATCAAAATACTTCACATCCACACAGTGGGATTGAAGGCAAAGTAATCGAGGTCCTGAACCGAAGTCCGAATGCACATGAATGCATGATGCACATGTCACAATAAGAATCCTCACAATAACATCACAGGTGCATCATCATTCGTCATGTTCATCATCATCACACAAAACATCACAGTCCATGTCATCACATGGTTCATCACAGTAATCATCATCATCACATAAACGTCACAACATCATGTTATCACATAGTTCATCAAAGTAATCATCATAATACATCATCTCATCATAGCTTATAATAATAATCATCACTATTCGTCACGTCATCACAGCACATCATAATAATCCTCATCACACATTGTTTCATCATATAATTCATCAAACTAATCATTATCGCACGCAATGTTATCATATCTCATCACAGTAATCATCATCGTACAACATATCCTCATATCTTATCATCATAATCATCATACATCATATTATCATAATTCGTCATATTAATCATCATACGTCATATTATCATAATATTAATTCATAATATTATCTCATATTCTCTCATATCATTTCATCAAATCATACTCACAGTAATCCTCATAATATCGCCTATTAATCACACAACCTCACCGTCATACTCATATTATCATATAGCTCGTCAATTCATAGTAATTTCATCAAGTTAATTCAATCAATACATCGTAGAAATCATCTTAACATCATGTACATCTCACGTAAAACCCACCGTCATAATCATAGCAACCCATCACAGAAATCACAGAATCAAAACATCAAGACATCATTGAACCAGAACATGATTCGTTACTAAAATATATACACAATTGAATTCTCAAACATAATTAGATATAAAAATATTGGGAAAACAATTCCATTATCTATCCTATGTTATAGCTCTGTTCATTAACTTTCCAACGCTTCGAACGGGGGTCAAAACGGACTTACGGATCCAAAGTTACGTCCAAAATAATTTCGACTGAAAACATGAACAGTCGTGACGGACAGAAAGACGTTGTTATGCTCTGGAACTGATTTTTACTCAATTATTCTTACGAATCACTCACTCAACGTACCCAAAACATCACTAAAACATTCCTAAGGTTATACGGCAATAACAACACAACTTCTATGGTTTATTAGGCTCATCTGGCAACATTTGCAATGCCTAAAACACTATTTCCTGCAATTACTCTGAGTACTTCAGAGTTACTCACATTTGAATATTCTTATTCCTATAGGGACAACATGTCACAATTTTTCCTTCAATTATACCCTACGGCATTAAAATTACTTACTATCCAATATTTAATCCCTTCAGGGTCAGACATATAACAATGTCAAGCTTTTGGCCACGAAGGCCTAAGGTTTCCCACAATTACATATCAGACAGTCAGAAATATTGACCACTAATCCTACGGGTTTTGCCATAAAGGCCTAAGGTTTTCCACAAATTTTATGTTAATATTCAATGATACATGCCATTTGGCCATTTGGCCATCCTCTCAGAATCTTACGATTACTTCTCTATTTCCCACAATTAATTCCAAATCCCTAAACCTTACATCAACCACAAATATACCGAAAATCATACATAGAAAACTATGAAAAGCAATACTCCTCATACCTTAGCCGATTCACAGCCTTTACTCCAGAAATCTTCCGAAGCTTTTGCCTCTAATTCTCCCTCCTCAGAGCTCTGCCCTCCATTCTTTTCACGGTTAACAAATGAATCCCAATTCCCTTTAGAATTCTATTTTGTTAAATCTCACAATTTGGGCTTTTCCCATAATATCCTCACTAACTCCTCCAATCGCCCAAATTGCCCTTATTTCCCTTATTTCAATTTAATTAATAATAATACTAATAAATTAATATTATATGCTATTAATTAAATAAATATCCAAAAATGCACATTTTCTTAATAATTCACCAACCACCCGAAAATCACCGAAAACGAATATTCTTAATTAAATAATTAATTAAAATACTCCAATTAAATTTGGGGTTTTACAACTCTCCCCCACTTAAAAGAATTTTCGTCCTCGAAAATTACCTCAAGAAAACAGAATCGAATACGACTCCCTCATCTGATCTCCAAGTTCCCAAATCCAACTTTCTCTAGTTGGTCCTCCCAAAATTACCTCTTCCAAGGCAATCCCTTTACCTTATAGTTTCTTCTTGTTCATCAATCCGAACAGGCAACACTTCAACAGTAAAGTTACCTCCCACTCGTACATTGTCCATCTGAATCAAAATACTTCCTCAACTTAGACACATAAAACACATCCAACAATTTTCACAAGCGACAACGGTAAAACAGTCTAACATGCCACTTCTCCCACGCTTCCGCTGCGCCACTCTGATACAGACCACAAAACACGGTGTGAGCTCTCGAGACTCCAAAGCTCGGCCAACACCAGTTACCATCGTAACTCTCAAAACACGTTTTTTCTTTTATCCCCTTGATCTTCTCAGTTGTCTCTTGCACAATCTCAGGTCCGAGTACAAGACTCTCACCTAACTCATATCAACACAAAGAAGTCCTACACCTCCCACCATACAAATCCTCATACGGTGTCATTCTGATACTAGAATGATAATTGTAATTGCAGGTAAACTCAACCATCGGCAAATAACTATCCCACGATCCACCTCGATCCAACACACAAGCTCTCAGCAAATCCTCTATAGACTGGATAGTTCTCTCTGTCTGTCCATCCGCCTGCAGATGATTGGCAGAACTCAATCTCAACATGGTACCCAAAG